TGGAATGTTGGCGGCAGCGGCGGGGGCGGCGCGTGGTGATGCGCCGCGATTGGAGGCATCGCATGGCCGCCCAACCCGGCGGGCGGAGGTGGAATCATGACTGGGTCGAAACCGGCGGGAACAGGCGGCTGCTGACCGCCCTGTGGTGGTTGATGCTGTTGATGCTGTTGCTGTTGCTGCTGCTGAGGCGGCGGCGGCGGCGGTTGCTGAGGCTGGCTCTGCTGCGTCACAAACGCCGGCAGGGCCTGGGCCTCGGGCACAATGTTGCGCTTCTTGGCCTGCTTCGCCAGCTCTCTCTCGGCCTCGTCGCCGTGGCGCTCCCCCTTGCCGTCCTTCTTGAAGGCGTACTGCACGCTGACCTCCTTGCTGAGCATGTACTGCCCGTCCAGGTTCGCGACGGCGGCGTCGCTGCTCTCAAAGTCGCCGAAGCTGACGAAGCCGAAGCCCTTGCTCATGCCGCTGTCGTCCCTGGCCACCTTGGGCAGGCTCAGTAGCGGCCCGAAGCGGGAGAAGGTGTCGTAGAGGAGCTTCTCGTCCACCATGGGATCGAGGTTGCCGATGAAGAGCTCGGCGCCAATGTCAGCGCCCTTTTGCTTGTCGGCCGACGCCTTGTTCACGCGCAGCGACTTGCCAAACAGCTTGATGCCGTTCATGACGTTGGCCGCGTACTCGGCGTCCGAGGGCGTGCGGAACTCGACGAAGCCGAAGCCTTGGTGATTCTGAGTGACACGGTCACGCGGCATGTGGATGTTGTGGATGGGGCCCATTTGGAGCATGATTTCGTAGATTGTTGCCGTCGTGGCGCGCTCGTCAATGTTGCCTATGTAGATTGTCGCTTCCTTGTCTTGTTCCCTGGGCTGCGTATTAGTTGATGCATTGTGGCGGTATGGTGATGGGTAGGGAACAACGTACCAATGTCTATTTTGCGCCATTTTGACGGCGATTTGGAAAGACGGGTCTTTCCTACCGCTTATGGAGGGTTTTGCAGCTGTGTATTCGGGACTGGGGACCGTACTGGGCGGGATGGGCGGTGTTTGTGAATTTTATAATCGCGGATGTGAAGCTGTTATAGCACATGGGATCGAGAAAGTTGAGTTGGGGACTTTTGCCGAAGTTGGTCCGGGCGCAGCGATGGCGGCTCTTGCCTTTTTTTCCCTCCTCTGCCTTTGGCAGACCCGATATTTTCCAGGAGTGACAGTAGCTCAAAATCTGTATTACTCGGTACTTTTTGACGATTCAGCTACAAGCCGCTTCTCGTTTTTCATTGCTGTCCAACAGATTCTGCCAAGATGTTTGCTCTGTCTGAAGAGTCCAAGGTTCGCGAGACAGTCTGTTTTTTCCACGGACCAGACGGGGGATGCTAACGGTACCAGGAGCGAATTGCCAAGCTTATCGACGTTTCGCGCGTCGCTATTCACTAGTATGTTTTGCCTTTTTTTTCTTTTGATTACAGTCATTCTTTGTTATGTTTCTAGGAATCGATTTGTACTAACAACTGACAGTGGCTACCTCCCCTTGATCTTGTACCTCGGTAGGATGACCCGACGATACGGACCAAGTCGAATGCGAATACTGATTGTAGCAGGCTATACTCGCAGCGATCCTCGTCCTTCCATCATCCGGTACGCTTATAAGCCCTCTGATGCGCTTCGGTCGTGCGCTCTTGATGCTAACTGCCCGAACAGCCTCCTGTCACCCCTTTCTTAAGCATCGATTTTGTTTGACGGATCAGCCGCTTTGTATTACTATCCACAATCGGAGGGCATGGAAGAGGGGAGAAAATAGACTACTTCGGCATGAATGAAGCTGCGTACATGGTCCCGCGTGCAGGGCGTTATGAAAATTGCCGCAATTGTATGACGATGGACAGAGGGCAGATGTATTAAAATGATGCATAATTGGCATTGGACCACTCGTGGAATTTCTGCTTGTTCCACATTCACCGGACGCTGGTTTTTTAGATTGACTGTGCATTTCACGATTGATTCGATAGGCTATGAGTGTGATTACCCCCTTGTGGTGCTGTGTTGTCGTGACTGTAGTCTGACGTAGCTCAACTCCGAAGCTATCCGAGCTCCAACAAAAAAAAAGTTCCCACCTCGACCTTTCAAACGCTCCTGATGGCAGGTTCCATACTCTCCGTCAACAATGTAGGCAACGGGCACCCCGAAACACCCGGATACAATCTCAATATCTATATGCCGGACCGTCGCCATGGGGGTCTGTCTCCCGCCGTCGTCGAGAGCGTTGCCGGCCTCAGCGCCGGTGTGATTTCGACCTTGGTTGTGCATCCCTTGGACATAGTCAAGACCCGAATGCAGAGTTGGTCGCCGCTCTTCCCTTTTTGCTGCGAAGCCTTGTCGGCTGTAGAATATATTTTTGATTCATCATCTTCGTGCTAACGACTTCGCGCGGCCCAGTCTACCGCAGCGCCGGGCAATCGGCCTCGCCCCCGACAACAGTCACCACGCTGCGCTCCCTCACGTCCAACAGCCGGCCCATCCTCTCGCTCTACCGCGGCCTCACGCCCAACCTCGTCGGCAACGCAACCTCCTGGGCGTCCTTCTTCTTCTTCAAGTCCCGCTTCGAGCGCGCCATCGCCTACTCCAACCGCCGCGCCCGCCCCTCCGCGGCAGACTACTTCTTGGCCTCTGCCCTCGCCGGCGCCTCGACCTCGGTGCTCACGAACCCCATCTGGGTGCTCAAGACACGCATGCTCTCATCAGACAAGGGCTCCGTGGGCGCCTACCCCTCCATGCTGGCCGGCGCGCGGACAATCCTGCGCACGGAGGGCGTGCGCGGGTTCTACAGAGGCCTTGCCGTTTCGCTGCTGGGTGTCTCTCATGGCGCCGTCCAGTTCGCCGTGTACGAGCCCACCAAGAGGGTGTATTTCAACAACCGCATCGCCGAGGGGGACGCGAACCCGCGGCTGACCAACGAGGCCACCGTTGTGATATCCAGCGTGGCCAAGTTGGTGGCCGGCGCGGTGACGTATCCGTATCAGGTTCTGCGGAGCAGGATGCAGAATTACCGCGCCGACGAGAGGTTTGGAAGGGGGATCAGAGGCGTCGTGAGGAGGATTTGGATGGAAGAGGGTGTGGTAGGGTTTTATAGGGGGTTGGTGCCCGGCGTGGTGAGGGTGATGCCGGCTACGTGGGTGACGTTTTTGGTTTACGAGAATGTGAGGTACTATTTGCCAGCGTGGATGGCGTAGAGTCGTACGGGATTATTTATCCCTAGATGGTCATGGATTTGGCGTTTTCAGCCGGGGGGGTTTGCATAGCGGTTTGTTTGCATCGGATAGACTGTCCAGATACCTGGTCAAGCGGGACATACCCAAGTCTTTTTGCCTCTTACTATAATCATGATGACTCTAAGAGACGGTTCAGTCCTTGGACCCTTGGCTCGCCGGCTGTATGCAGTGTGTTGGTCGCTCAGTCTCCAAGCACAGTCAAGTAAATAAATTGGAGAATCTTGGCTCTGCGGTAAGATGGCGGGAGAGAGGGATGGTCGACAATCAGCCGAAAGAATTCAAGATGGCAGGATGATATGCATGAGTATACTTTGATATTTCCGTGTTGCCTTGCCTTCTTCTCTCCCTGTACGTGTCCCCAATAGAGAGGCACCCAAAGCAAAGAAACAGAAGCACAGTACTGCTCTGCAGACAGAAGGATGACAGGCATAGCTTCTAGAAACTAACTTGATAGCGCTGCATCTCTTACCATGTTTGTAGTCGTTTCAGTCCGACTGTGTTATCGAAAGCCGTGGGCTCGAGTCCTTGCCTTTACTCTCAAAGAAGGCAGTAGCGTCAGGGATCTAATTCGGTTTACCTGGTATCGTATCTGCACACCATTGATGCAAAGACCGAACGACATGGCACGGCTGACCGTTTGCAGACTAACTCGACACAAAGTGAAGAAAGCCCACTTTAAGTTCAGTCCAAAGTCCGTGATGCATCAAGAGTGGAGTAGGTTGGGCTGTTCATATTTTTGATCATCTGGACAAATCCAAAAGTTAGTGAGACGGATGCCCTTCTTCATTGGTCAAGCCTTTTCGTCCGTCGGTTTTATCCTTCGTTTCTTCTTGGTGGCGAGTCGCGGGCGCATTGTGGTCAATTCGCTTCAACAAGACCAGCCATCCGTTGCCGACCAACGGCAATGCCTGTCAAACACACCAGCAAGACTCTTTCGCCTCTGACCAAGGTTCAGAGCGACCGAGTCCTTGGCTCGGCAAGGATAAGCCCGGCCACACAGAACCAACCGCCACGCCGACGCCCGGCATCAGGTTATTTATCCCCCATGGAGGTGAGGAGGCGGGCCGCAGCGGAGCCACTCATATTGCAGGGAATGTTGCTGCCTATACCCGGGAGCCGATCGTGGTGTGTCCTTGTCTTGGCCCTGTTCCGGAAGGCGTTTGTCTTGTCCCGGCGCCACGGGGGGGAGTTGCCAGAGTTTGTTGTTCGCATGAAAGCAACCAAACCATCCGACAAAGTTATTCAAAAAAAAAAAAAAAAAAAAAAAAGGAAGAAAAAAAAAGGGGGCACACGCTAGCTCCTAGTGAGTGTGGGAAACAACCGCTTTGCCTGAAGAGTTCCCCGGCCGGGCATGTCTCAAATTGGCTTTTAAACTCGAGACAAGGTTTGACAACAAACCACAAGCTCGCTCACAACGGATGCCTCGACCGAACTCCCTCGCTTCCCCGAGGCCACGAGCCTGTGAAACAGCGGGTCAACCCAGACTCGAAGTCGCCAAGATCTACCGGAACGGGCTGGGGGGTAAGAGCCATCCATGCAGTTGTGTGGAGGGAACTCGAGCAATCAATTTGATACTCGAATGCTTGGTGCTGACCGGTGGAGACGATATCAACTCATAATCTCCACCTCCGCAATGTTTGGACTGACAGGAAGTGATAGTTGGGGAACTAGGATCCAACGGTGCTGACAAGCGTGCTCAGTAGCTCTTGTAAACAGCCTCCCCCCCCTTGCTGGGCTGACGTCAACGTGTATTGGTGAAAGCAAAGCGTGGTTGTGACGGGCCGATGATTACTGTGTCTTTACAAGGGGGGGAGGCAAGAGCTCGCCGTGTTGTGCTTTGTGTAAAAGATGCCATGTAGTTATTAAGTAGCAAGTAGCTCCTCGCCGCGGTTCTCATCCCACTTTGCAACCTCTTCTCCCTCAAAGACTTCCAAGTGCTCAATTGTGTGCCTATCAACCCTCCCAGACAGTCCACCATGGAGAAGAGAGTGTCTGCTGATCCGCCGGGATACGCCGAGCCTGTCTTGCACCATGACGAACAACAGGGTCGCCGGGGGTCTACCGCTCTCAACATCATTGAGAATCCGCTCAAGGTAGGCAAACTCTCCTTGACGGCCTGCTGGCTGGCCCGTGACTGACATGGCCATTGTCTCAACCCGCCGTAGCGCAAATCAGAAGAAGACAACATTCGCGATGCAAAGGCCTTTGCCGAGACACACGGCATGTCTGAGCACGCCGAGCTCTTTGGACGAGCCGCTCTGGTGGCCCGGGATCCGCAGAGATTCGAGATGATCTCGGAACTTGACGAGGAAGAGCGCAGTGCCCTGGTGTACGAGAGAGACCACAAGTGGCATGGCCCGTTCATGCTGTGGTACTCGATTGGCCTCTGTGCTGTCGGCGCCGCGACCCAGGGATGGGACCAGACCGGTGCCAACGGGGCGAACTTGTCCTTTCCCCAGGAATTTGGCATTGCTGGCCAGGGAAGAGATGAATGGATCGTCGGGCTGGTCAACTCCATCATCTTCCTCACGGCCGGTCTCATGTAAGTGCTCCCCAACCTCCCTCCCTTCGTCGCCGCCCGCCCACCATGGCTTACATTCATGACCTTGTTCTGCAGCGGTGCCTTCATCGTAGATCCGCTGAACCACTATCTGGGCCGGAGAGGCGAGATCTTCGTCACGGCCGCCTGTCTCACTGCCACCCCCATCGGATCTGCCTTTGCCAAGTCGTGGCAGGGACTCTTTGCCGCGAGGTTCGTCATGGGCATCGGCATCGGCGCCAAGAACGCCACGGTGCCCATCTACTCGGCCGAGATGGCCCCAGCCAGGACTCGCGGCGCCCTCGTCATGTTCTGGCAGCTCTGGGTCGTGGCCGGTAAGTCCTGCTTTGCGCCCGTTCTCGTCGTCACGACGCCAGCTAACAGTCCTTTGCCCGCAGGCATCTTCTTGGGCTTCGCGGCCAACGTCATTGTCAAGGACACGGGCGACATTGCGTGGCGTCTGCAGTTCGGCTCGGCCTTCATCCCGTCCTTTGTCCTCATGATTGGCATCTTCTTCTGCCCCGAGTCTCCGCGATGGCTCATGAAGCACAACAAGTACGACAAGGGGTTCCGGTCCATGCTGCGTCTTCGAGCCCATCCCATCATTGCCGCGAGGGACTTTTACTACTCCCACGTCATCTACGAGGAGGAGAAGAAGGAAGCCCGCGGCGCTGGCTACTTCTCCCGCTTGTGGGACTGCTTTGCCGTTGCTAGGATCCGAAGGGCAAACTATGGTGCATCTACCGTCATGATAGCGCAGCAAATGTGTGGAATCAACAGTTCGTTTGCTCCCCCCCTTGCTTGTATTTCATAGGGATAGTCGACTCGAAGCTGAAAGCTGACAATCCTTGGTCTAGTCATATCCTTCTACAGCTCATCCATCTTTGAGAGCGTCGGCTACTCGGCCACCGAGGCCTTGTACGCGTCTCTCGGATACGGAGCCGTCCAAGTCGTGTCCACCATTCCTACTCTCTTCCTTATTGATACCAAGGGGCGGAGAACCCTGACCATGATCGTATGTCCCCTTGTCAACTCGTGGCGGAAGAGGACAGTGTTGTTTGTGAACTGACGCTCTATCGAAAAGACCTTTCCTCTCATGTGTATATTCCTCCTGGCTGCCGGCCTTTCGCTGCTCCCCAATGGTGCTCATCATATTGCGCCCCACGATCCGAACCAGAACCCTGCCGACGACATGAGATCCCGCGGAGCGAGAATCGGACCTGTCGTGTTGTAAGTACCCCTCAGCCATGCAACAGATAGCCGGTGGCTGTGAATCCTTCTAACCGGGTCCTTGAATCTCTTAGGTTCGTCTACCTGTTTACTATTTGCTACTCCCTGGGCGAGGGACCGGTTGCCTTCCAGTACTCGGCCGAGGTCTTTCCCACGATTCAGCGTGAGCAAGGAATGGCTTGGGCTGTCTGCATCAACAACACCTTTGGTGGGTTTTACTCTTCTGATACAATTTGACGGTAAACTGCTTGTGCTAATGGATTTCGTTTCTTTGGCAGCTGGTATCCTTGGCTTGACTTTTCCGCGGATGAAAACGGTCATGACTTCAACCGGTGCTTGTAAGTGGACTGTGAAGATGTTTCATTTTTTCCATTTTTCCTTTTTTTTTTTTTTTTTGCACAAGTCACAGTATTTCTGACCTCCATCTTACAGTTGGTTTCTACGCCGGCCTCAATCTTGTTGCCTGGGTCATGATATTCTGCTTCGTGCGGGAAACCAAACAACTGACTCTGGAAGAGTTGGACCGTAAGCAATGCCTGTTTGCTCATGATGATGGGAGCGTTGTGGATGACACTAACACGGCGCGCAGAGGTCTTTTCGGTCCCGACCAAGAAGTTCATACACTACGAGGCCACCGTGTGGCTTCCGTGGTTTATCAAGCGATACGTCCTCTTCCAGAAGATCCCTCGCCCTCCTCCCCTCATCGAGAAGGCGGAAAGGGACGATGCTGTCAAGGACGCGTAAGAGCCGTTGCGTTTTCTCAATGACTCAGTGATGCGACTGCCATCATGACGCTGGCTCCCCATTAGAAACGGCATTCTTTTGGAGATCTGATTCAACTGTTGAGAATTACAGGGGCGTTTTTCGTCCGTTCGCCAGATAGATGTAAAGGAGCCCCCCATACAGGTACACGGGCTGCACGATGTTTTTAGACATGATTTATACATATACCCTCGTTTACATGTCTCATACCGGTATTCACCAGTTACTATTGCTTGTTCTATAGGCGTCCCGAGTAAAACCATCGTGATTGACTCCAACCGTGCCATTCAATGTAGTTTCAAGGGGCATATTGAGGTCAGGGTGATCTTGTCAAGAGATGGGAACTGTGTGAGGAGTTCGTCTCGTCATACACAACGAGAACTATCCTACAGGTAGTAGCAAAGGCGCAACATTCTTTCTAGCTGGCTACAGATGTCGTCGGGCCAACAAAAATTCCGAGAGACCTTGGGGAGGAGGTTGCCGCTGCGGTTAGGATGGGAAGACGGAAGTAGCCTGGACATCATGACTCTCGACTTCTCCCGCGCCCCTTGTGCCGAGCAAGTAGGCAAGGCCGTCACTGACCTGGGCCAACGATCGTATCCATGTGCTCATAAACAGTGCCGGCATGTCAGGTCCCATGGTCCCCGCGGTGCAGACTGCAGCGGACGACCTCCGTGCCGAATTCGAAGTCATTCCGTTGCGCCCCTGATGGTATTGCAGGGTCTGTGGCCATTGCTGCCAAAGCCGGCGGGCCCCAAGGTCATCATGATGACATCCTCGGTCGGCTGCATCACGTTTCCAGAGCTGTGCGGGGGCTCTTATGGTCCCAGCAAGGCGGCCTTGAATTGGATCACTCGTGCTCTTCATCTTCAGAATGAGGAATCTGGCCTGGTGGCCGTGGCCCTCCACCCGGGCTGGGTTCAGACGGACATGGGAGAACAGTCGGCGCGAGATTGGGGACATGCTCACCAGCCGCCGAAGACGGGGATTCATCGAGGTTGTTGATGGTGCTACTCGAGACACTGTGTCTGGCAAGTCTGTCACTTTTCAGGGCGAGATGCTGCCGTGATGAAGTAAGCCCGGTCAAAGGAGATGTGGATTTTTGTTGTTTGATTTTATTTTTTTTTATTGCCAGTCCTGCTTGACCAATAAAATAAATGCGTGAATCAGAGACGACATCTGGAGCCCTCGATTGTGCAACGTCGTCGCTTCGCTTCGCCCACGTTGCACCAATTGACAAAAACCGCTGCGTCGACAATTCAAGATTCAAGCATCCACGTAACAACGTCGACTCTCAGCCGCCACTGCGCAACCACCATGGCATGCCTTGAGGCACTGCCTGCCGAGGTTCTGTGCGAAATTGCCGACTTGTTGGTTGGGGGCTTCAAACAGCCGTCCGACCTCATAGAAGTCCAGTTCGGGTGCTCGGGCGGCCCGTCATACGCCCGGCACCATTCAGCCCTGGCTAGAAGTTGCCGTCGTCTGTACGGCATCCTCAATCCGCAGCTGTACAAACGCAATATTCATCACGACGCCGTTCTCAACTCGTGCGTCCTGTGGGCTGCGGCACGTGGGCGGCTGGGCACCATCAAGATTGCTCACGGGCTGGGAGCAGACCTCGACCTTGTTGGGCCTCGAAGCCGCGATGTCTTCGCAAAGGGCTGGAACGGCATCCGTGGGCGTCCCGACTTCGTGGCGACACCTCTCCATCTCGCCGTGGAGAATGGCCATCTCGACATTGTCGAGTACCTCCTCGAGCACGGCGCCGCCCTTCATTTACCCGCATTGGAGTGCTGCCATTGCCCCTATTACCGCCAACCGTATGCTCTCCACATGGCCCTCGCCCATAGCAAAAAGACCGAGGAAGCTGCCGCAATGCTGATCCGGCATGGGGCCTACTTGCTCCACGAGGACTTCCCGGCGATATCGCTCCTGAGCGATATGGGCCATCATGACCTCTTCCAGCTCTTGCTCGAGCAACGCCATCCAGAATCAGCCACGCATGCGCTGGATTACTCAATAAGAAAGCACAAATCGTCGCTCACTCGGGATCTCCTCCAACGCCCGGACCTAGACCTTTCATCGCCGCGACGTGGTAGGTCGTTCTTGGGGCTAGCCGTCTTCATGGGTAACACCGACGCCGTGCGTGCCCTGCTTAGCCACCCTGGCGTGGATCCTGAAGCTCTTGAAGAGGGCGAATGTCCTCATCTGCAGTCCGCCGCATCATGCGGGGATGCAGATATCCTGCACGCTCTTCTTACCATGAGGCCCGAGATAGACGTCAACACAACCGACGAAATGGGCCGCTCTCCGTTCCATTTGGCAGCCCATGGTGGTTTTGTTGAAAGTATGAAGGCTCTCACACAGTCCCCAGATGTAAAAGTAGACTTGAGGGACAAGACTGGCCAAACACCGCTACACCTGGCCGCGTACAGTGGCAACTACGACGCTATTCGCTTCCTGGTAAAGCACCCAGGGGTCCAGCCCTTGGCTGTAGATGACGAAGGCTTCAACGTCTTGCATTGTCTGGCAATAGGAAATGCAGCATCGAGGAGGCTGCAGGAGGAGAGTGAAGATGAGGAGGAGGAGGGGGAGGATGAGGATGATGATGAGGATGATGATGATGATGATGATGATGATGATTATGGAGGCAGTAGTGAGAGTAGTACTGAGAGTGGCGACCACATGAGCGAGGGAGCATCATCCAATGCCAACCAGATTGACGAAGCAGAACAGATGATCAAGGAGCTCATAAGCCTTGGCATTTCTATTGACCAGGAAACGTCGACATCTGGCACGGCTCTACGCGTGGCCATCTGCCACCTCAACTTCCCCATCGCTCTAGCCCTGCTCGCCTGCGGGTGCGACCATACCATCGGCTTTGAAGGAACATCAGGATGGACCATGCTGCACGACTGCCTCAGGTGTCCCACCAATAAAAGCATGCAAACAGACCTGGTGAAGCAGCTAGTGAGTCGAGGCGTGGACATTGGCACGGCCCATACATTCGACCCAGGTCTTATTCTAGAGGATCAGTACGGCGAGGGGATTGAAATGTCCGTGGGTGCCACGCCGCTCTTCTGCGCAGCCGGGTTCGCCCGCAACGTAGAGAGTATGAAGGTGCTTCTCGACGCAGGAGCCGATCCCAACGCAGACATTGTCGATTTCAAGCACGGCGATCCGGGCCAGGGCGCCGCGTGCCTTGAGCCGTTTCTCGTGGCCCTCTACTGCACCTTCAGGGCCCGCCCGAGGAGAAAATCGGTCGGCGAGTTTGGGCTTCTCGTCAAGCACGGCGCGAAGCTGGACGAGGCGGGCTGCTGGGACAAGACTGCTCTAGAGATGGCGTTTCGAACCCGCCGCGTTCTGAAGGAGATGCTGGACCATGCTACGAGCGACAACATATGTCGCGAACATGTGCAGAGCGCTATTGATGATCTTTCTAGCCGTAGAAAAAGTCGCCAAGGGCCGACACTGCTGAAGTACTTGAAGGACTTTTGGGAGAGAGTTTTTGGGGAGTGAAGACGTGGCCGTCTCTAGGTGTGTCTTCAGGCGCGTGGCATGTCTGCCGATATGTCAATCAGCCATTGAGGAAACGCTGACGGTCCAAGGGCGGCCCAGGGGTGTTGCGTATATTGGTAATGGCCAAGGCCTGGGTTATATTGACTGGTCATGCCAGAATATGATGTGATGACGTAGGGAAACGTTACTGCCGCCAAAGAGATCATTTTCATCCAGATGGTCGGTATCGATCTGCGTGTCGCCGCCGTTGTATGCGTCCTCGTGACCAAGGCTCTTTTTCGGATACTCAAATGTTGGGTAACATGCACTCCATTGGACCTGTTCTTAGCGACATGCCAAACACCGACGCGCGGAATTGGAAGGCATGCAGGTGACGATGGAACAAGATGTGGCGAGTTGTTGAAAAGAGTCAACTGGTGGTCTTTCCCTTTTTACTAGAGCTAGGTTAAGGCATCTTGATACTGAAATAGGAGTCCTTGTGAATCAAGTTTAGAGGCTAACTGGCAATCTGTTGGCGCTATTTAGCAGGGATATTTACAAGGCAAAATCAGAATCTTTCTGCGGTAGGATTGGCCCTTGAGAAATTTCAGCCTTGTATCGGATTGTATACCTTCTTGTACGTAAGGCTCGACTTGAATGGCTAGCTTGTATGCATCTAAAGTATACCGGGCACATCCCTGGCTAGTAGATCTAATCGGGTCATATTTTAGTGTGCCAAGAAAGCTATATAACACTATATGTACCAACTACATGTGTAAATTAAGCTAAATAACTACTATCCACACCGTCTAGTGTAGTCCCCACATGAGAAAATAGTAATAATTAACTTTGAAAATGTACCTGGTAAAATACCATTTTTAATTTACTTCTTCGTAGCTTAAAACGGCGTGTACACTCGGTCATATAATTATAGCGCGTACCAATACCAATTCCGAATTGAGCCCATGCAGTCACAAAATTCCAACTCTAGTCCCTGGCAATGTCGATGTAAATAAATGGCCATGGCCGCCGTGCGCTGTCCTTCCGGGCCGGCCTTGTCCACTACAGTGTTTTTTTTAGTACATATTTCTCTTTGTTTTTCTTATTTGCATTGTATTACACTAAGAAAACGATGCTGCATATTCTCACTCTCAGCCATGCGATAAACTGGCACAATCAGATGATGGCGAGCTCTCGGACACGGCCACCCGACCCCTTTCTCGCCCGGCTTGGCTCCACCGCCCTCGTCTTGTTGTTTCGCGTCTTGGGATCCCATGCATTGTCGCTCCGGAAGGAGGCAATGTCGATGACGACTGGCATCAAACTGTCGTGCAGGCGTGTGCCTTGACCAGAGATTTTCAACAACTCTCCCTGGGTGACAGTGCCAACGCCTTGACCCTCAGTGGCGGGCAAAAACAGCGTGTTGTAGGTTTCAACCTTCCACCCTTCGAGACACGCATCAACAAGACATGATCCGGGCGTTAGCGCGGACAGTGTACGCCAGAAAGCAGGTTCTTGTGGCAGATGATGTCTTGTCAGGTCTAGACGTGGACACTCGACATCACGTTTGGTATCTGTTCCAATGGGTCTTTTGCGTGATTCATGTCACTCACACACGTTTGTGAAATTCTCATCTACAGCGACAATGATCGCGGCGACTGATGGTGTGACAATAATTGAATATCTCCGGCATGCCGATCAGATTACTGTTGTAGAAAATGGTGAAATCGTCCATCTAGGCTCTTATGTTACCGTCCGTGGGGAAGGCTTCCCTACTCCTCAGTCAGGCTGAAAACCCTCCCGCTTCATGCCGCAGTTCATCAGAAATCAGTAGACAAGAAGAAGCAGCGACAGCCAAGGTCGAACCCAAAGATGTGGACGAGCAGGAAGTCCAAGATCTAACTAAACCAGGGGATACCGCACTTTACATATTCTACTTTCAGTCTATTGGCTGTAGACATGCCATGACGGCTCTATTTCTTGCAATAATACCCGTCTTCCTCCAGCAATTCACGCGTTCGTCTATGAGCTTCTGGTAACAGCTGGCAGGCGCCGTTTCTGTAAACATCAATGAATGATGATGGGACGGGGCGGGATCGGGGGCCGGGCTCGGAGCTGCGGAACGCGGAATGGTCCAGGTGCCCTTGTCCACATGGCGCGCGGCGTGGCCACCAATGAGTCAACTGGTCGCAAGTCGGCCGCCTAGAGCGTCGTGGTGGTGTCGAATTGGGAAGCTCAACGGAGAAAACATTGAATCCACAAATTCACCATCAGAGTCCCTGAAACGCTGAGCCCAGGGCCCAAGGCAGAGCCGCTGACATCGACTAGCATCTTGCACTAAGTCGGAGTCACAATCGGACCATGGTGAGTATATCTAGGTAGCTGTTGCACACAGCCAGGCATACAATGGGTTAGGCTCGTGGCAAATTACATTCTTTCCCATCTACTATGAACGTCCACCCGGAATTTAATACCATCGATGGCTTTTATTTCTTACACACATGCTGGAATCAACGACATGGCTGCGATTATTGGGGATGGCCTCAAGCCTTGGATGGCACGGCTAGGCATGAACGGCGTCATTGGGATCTGTGTTGCATTGGCATTCATCACGGCCATTTACAAACTGGTTCGTACTTTGCACATTTTGCGTGCTAAACAAGCAGCGGGATGTTGCCAAAAAAAAAAAAAAAAAAAAAAATTTACGCCTCCCAGTTTACCAAGTCGCGCGGCGTGGCCACCAATGAGTCAACTGGTCGCAAGTCGGCCGCCTAGAGCGTCGTGGTGGTGTCGAATTGGGAAGCTCAACGGAGAAAACATTGAATCCACAAATTCACCATCAGAGTCCCTGAAACGCTGAGCCCAGGGCCCAAGGCAGAGCCGCTGACATCGACTAGCATCTTGCACTAAGTCGGAGTCACAATCGGACCATGGTGAGTATATCTAGGTAGCTGTTGCACACAGCCAGGCATACAATGGGTTAGGCTCGTGGCAAATTACATTCTTTCCCATCTACTATGAACGTCCACCCGGAATTTAATACCATCGATGGCTTTTATTTCTTACACACATGCTGGAATCAACGACATGGCTGCGATTATTGGGGATGGCCTCAAGCCTTGGATGGCACGGCTAGGCATGAACGGCGTCATTGGGATCTGTGTTGCATTGGCATTCATCACGGCCATTTACAAACTGGTTCGTACTTTGCACATTTTGCGTGTTCATAGTGCTTGGGGGGGTTGCCAAAAAAAAAAAAAAAAAAAAAAACTTACGCCTACCAGATTACCAAGTCATGGACAGCAACGGAACCGCAACCCAACCCCGATGCCAAAACGGGGGGAAAGCCAGCTCTACACGACGAGACGCCCAATTTGGTCATTGAGCCTTTGGAGCAGTTCGATTGGCAGGCAACAGAGCCCACCAAGTACCTACCCATCAAGCCGGTGTATCACATCACCATGGGTGAGTTGGCTCCTCCGCCAGCCATCCAACACCAACCGAGTACCAGCTAAAACAATGACACAGCCCTTCAACAAGACACGCCCTCGAGACTCATCACCATCGACAGAGACTACCTGGACAGGGTTACCCTTCGGCGAAATCTCATTGACGAAAAGGGCCACGCAGTCCACGGATACCTGCCCCGAGGCAAAGAGTCCGTGGCCGAGCTATACACCTACCTCTTGCGAGACTACTTGCCCGCCCGGTACCCCACAATGTTCGGAATTGGCCCCGACGGGACCGTTTTCGAAAACACGGCAACGGGTAGGACATTCCCCATGCAACCGCCCGAGGATGCAGACGCTGCGCTTCGAACATTGGGAGAAACAGTCGAGGAGGATCTGTTCCTCTTGCATGAAACACCCAGTGGTCATCTCTGCGTGGCCTTCATGTGCTGTTTCCCATCTGGGTTTGATCCGTCCGAGAAGTTCGGCAACTTGCTCAAGGACATACACGCTCCCGTCCCGTCTTACTCCAAGATTGGCGCGAGCATGGAGCGATTCTTCAGCAAGCTTCAGGTTGGGAAAAGTGTGAAGCGGTTAAATGTACGTCTTTCTTACCATCAAACTGAGATGAAGCTCCCGCTTTATCCTAAGCAGTCCTGTAACAATTCCTCGCCAGTGGTCCGTTCAAACCAACGACGAGCTGTATGCACTGGGCAACCACACCAAAGATGACGAGGCGGAAGCTACTTCGGAAGACAGCATAGATGCGAACCAGGTAACGTTGGGACGCACCACGTGCAAAGAGTATTCCAGCTGACTTGCGTAGACATATTTCCGCGTGGAGCTCCAAACCTTGACGCGGCTGCCCAGGACGCAAGCCGTCTTGTTCTCGTTCAAGACCTACCTGTACGGTATTCGAGAAATCAGAGAGCAGGGGTCAGGCCCAGAGCTGGCCGATGCTATTGAGGGCTTGAAGTCGGGGAATGCACCGGGCATGTGGAGGTACAAATCGGCTGTCCGGTGGGGAAAGCCGGTTTGCGACTATCTGCGGTCATGAAGAGGCCAAGGACACGGACTGAGTGTGATCACGAAGACGAGAATAAGACCCAACACATGAAGCGTAAACGGCCAGAATCTCCAAATGCCATCAAGGCCGGGCAGGGGGGCCGGATCTAGGCGCAGCTGAGTGGCGCAGGATTAGCAGGGAGCAAGCACTCTAACCGACCTGGCTTGAGTACTTCACAGCGACGAAGTAAGCTTGAACCACGGCTCCTATTAGTTACGTACCTGTAGAGTTACATGGCATAGCGTTCCGTGCAACAGGCACTTGTCACCTTGCTTCTTCTTTAACTTGCCGTGAAACCTGTGTGAGCATGAACACACGCCCAATTGTCATCGACGCGTCCTTCTCGGTGCCCACGTGACGAGGCTGCCGCTTACCCGTCTCAATTCAGTTCTGCCATTGGCTGAGAAAACTATAGCTGTGGCGTCCGTGTGGCTCATGCGGCTCCTGTATGTTCCCATTGGTAATCCCACACGCTCCAGCTCGGTCAGTCCGCCGGTCGCGCCGTAGCCTCGCAGGTGCCAGCCACAAAAGGTCAAGTGGTGTACGGAGTACTCGCACGATATCTGTTCGGCACGGCAAGCGCGACCTCCGCCCTCGTGCTCGTGGACAGCCGCAGCCGCAGCCGCCTCCACGACGTCTTCACGGCTTCACGTCCTCTGCGCCCGAACCTCACTTGCTCCGCAAACCAACGTCCGCATTGGCACAACTACTAATTTAGCCCATCTGGGTCTTTTCCTCTCTCAAAATTAGTCATTTCTCTTTCGCCCTGCTCATCCCACCCTCTTATACCTATACCGTCTGCGCAAGCCAAGATACCCAATTGCCCTTTGTCGAACGATCGACGCTTTCAGCGTCCCCTCAAGCCCATCAAGACCCTCTGAACTACCGATCTTGCCCATCGCGAATCCTTTCCGATAAATTATACCAGTGGTCTTTTATCTAACGTCATCGAATTCCACCCGCGACAGCGCATCCACATCCACTTTCGTTAATAGCTGGCTGGTCAACATTCACGTCCTCTGTTCTCCGCATCACGATTGTTGGTTGCAAAGCCTAACGGGTGCGACAACGAGGCCTTTACTGCAGACTATGCTCTGACACCTTGAATCCTTTGCAATAGACGTCTTCTTTCTGGCTTGTTTGGAGCTCTACGACTTTTTTTCTTCTTTAGATTCTTCCGCCTGCCCGCCCCGTGAGATTCGATTCGAAGAAACCAACATCGGTAACCGTCGCTGACAATCATGTCTGCTCCTTGTGTGTTGCAACCTGTCCACTATATCCTGAAGCTCTTTCTTTAACAGTATGCTCCTTGCAGTGACTCCCGACGAGCAGGAACGCTACACCGAGATCATCGATGATATCTTGGCGACTGCTGATCTCGAGACCATTTCTCGTAAAAAGGTCCGACAAGCGCTGGAGGACCGACTTGACGGCAAGGACTTGAGTGAACAGAAGGTACGAGTCGATCAATAAGCGCCCCTTTTTCCAATGCGCTCGTGCTGGCGGGTAGTTTGTGGGTATGAGTTTGACGGCGGTACTGACGGGATGCAGGAGGCGATTAAGCGTCTAATCGAAGCTCGCTTTGATGCTGTCTCCGGGGCTGATGTCGAAGATGTCCCAGAGCCATCGCCTCACAAGCGATCCAATGGTGTCTCTAGCTACGACGAGACCGACCCTTCTGCCTCGCCGGAGCCAGCAAAAAAGAAGGCGAAGCGATCCTCCCCGTCTGAAGATGCAGATGCGCGCCTAGCTGCCCAGCTTCAGGCTCAAGAGAATAGCTTGGCCCGTGGACGAACCACCCGTGGAGGTGGTGACCGGGCTGTAAAGAAGCGAAAAGCGCCACGCAAGAAGAGCTCCAAAAAGGTCCGCGACGATGAAGATAGCGATGTGAACGGCAGTGGAGAGTCGGGCGTAAAGAAGCGCAAGGCCGGTGGTGGTTTTCAGAAACCTTTTAATCTAAGCTCTACGCTCTCCGACATTTGTGGCGAGACCCAGGTGAGCAGGGCATCAACATTCGCCCTGAATTGAGCTAGCTAACAAACGCAGCTCTCCCGCCCACAAGTCGTCAAGAGACTGTGGGAACACATCAAGGCCAACGACCTTCAAGATCCGGCAGACAAACGACAAATCCGGTGCGACGCCAAGATGCAGGCTGTGTTCAAACAAGCCAGGGTTGACATGTTCAAGATGAACAAAGAGATTGGCAACCATCTTTATCCAGTCGGGGAGGAGTAATTGAATACAGTCACGACTTCACAAGCACAGCACAATCTACAACAACAAAAAAGAATATCACGGTATCGGCGCCTCGAGGAGTATCCGGACAACACACGGACGTTTTCTCGTCCTTGCGTTTTTTTTTTTCTAAACCTTTGTGATTTTGGTCTGATTGATTTTAGGTATTCACAAGTCATATTTATGCCTTTTTTTCCGTCTGCTTTGATATTTGGGCCGGCAGCATGGGATGGCGAGGAATAGGATTTGAGGGTGTGTTTCACGCTCCTTATGGGCCCATGTCTCAATTTGGGAATGCCCAGTAACGAGAGATGCGTTTTGTGACAGAGGCTGTACAGGGGAGGGGAGGGTAGGGAGGGGTGGAGGATGGAATATGTCGAACATGATATCAATTAGAGCGCATGGTGTTCTTTGAAAAGGAAATCGATAGGATAGTTTGGTAGTTTGGCTACGGCTGAATTACGGGACACCATTGAACCATGTCTATTTGAACAATGAACATTGCAGTAATGTTCTCGGCATGCTTGTAACGTTACCGTAGACTAAAATGTATGAAGGGCGGCCAACGGGGCTAGCCATGCAACGGAGTAAGTACCACGTACGTTAATTAAAGAACTTATCGACGGCATCTACATTTAACTTTGGAATCAAACATGATCATTTTATTTCATATTGTCCTTGAAAGTAGTGTCTAGTAAGTAGTGAAATAGTGATCAAGAAAGAGTACTGAGAAATGTAACATGGTTGCGACATTCCAAGGCATCCATCCACTGGCATCTGATCTTCCTACTTTGTTTCATTCGTTGTGCAAAGTTTTTAACATGGCGTCTGTAAAGCTTAGACTTAATGAATAAACAGCTTGCCCCGCTGAAAGCACTCACAAATGGATTACATGGGAGGCGCTTGGGCAAGAAGGCCTGGATGAATCATACCACCCACCACAATGACTGACTGATCTAGTAGGGAACAACAGGTCGTATATAATTCGGGAAATTGATAACCCTTTCAGAAAATTGAGAGACATAGGAAACAAAAGAAAAGAGAAATTGTAACAGAGATTAATAATATTCATAGCTAGAACTCAAGAGCAAAAACGCTAATACAAAAAAAAGATGTGCCGCAGCGAGGACTCGAACCTCGGTTTCCAGTGATTTCGTATGAGACGAACCACAAACTGGTGTCCTTACCCCTAGACGACTGCGGCTTGTGGGTCTGATGATGTCAATGCGGTCAGTAAATTGCATTATGTTTCTGAACAGCCGGGGGCAGCCCGGGGTAGGTAGGCCTCTGTTGGCTCCATTGACAGCTGCAACATGCTGCCGGGCTGACTCACGAAGGGGGGAGGTGGGTTTGAGGAAATTCGCCCCTCGTTTGCGCGAAGCGTTTGGTTGAGCAGTTGACCTATTGGCGGCTCCAGCGGCGCCAGTGATTGATGCTGAACTGCCCCTCCAATTGGCACCTCGAGCACTCGAAGCACCGCCGTCATAAATCGAGCGACTCCAAGCAGAAAATTACCAAGCATCTCATCGCCCTTGGCCCCCCGAGCATGGTACCAACGTACTCATCACGACGCACCTTTTCACTGACGAAGCGTACATGGACGTCTCGTTTTCTTGACTTCTTTCCAGTATCCATATTCATCTGAACAAACGCCACGTTGCGTGAAAAATTAAGAAAAGGGAAAAAACTCCCCTAGCGGTCGAAACACTTTCTCGAGAGAAACAACCTCCCCAGTCAAAAACATTTATCAGTACATTTTCGCATTGGGAACAACTCGTACCCATCACTGGCTATGCCTGGTACCGAGAGCGCACCTCAATCCGGCCGCGACGAGAGCTCTAGAGGACGAGGGCGTGGCCGTGGACGAGGCAGCGGCGGGCGTGGAAGACGAGGCCGAGTAGGAAATGCTCAAAACGCAGTCAATGCCACTCCCGCCAATCCAGCAGCTCAGCACGTTGCCGCAGCAGCAGCAAGAGCTCATCTCTTGAAGCAGCAGGGCCAGACTGCCGCCGGGAATGCTGGCGCCCCGACTCCTGCAACCCCGGCTGACGCTGACGCTGACGATGATGCCGACGTCTGCTTTATTTGTGCCAATCCGGTTGCACACCATTCTATTGCTCCTTGCAATCATGCTACCTGTCATATCTGTGGTTTGCGGATGAGGGCCCTTTATAAGACGAAGGACTGCGCCCATTGCCGAGTACGCTATGCTCCGCTCCGTAGATTATGTGAATTGAACCACATGCTAACAAAAATATCTTAGACCCCAGCCCCCTTTGTCATCTTCACGGATGACGCTGCAAAGCGCTTCGATGATTACACCGACAAGGACATCACCACCACCGACTCCAACATCGGCATCAAATACACAAATGAAGACATCGTGGGGGATACCGTGCTCTTGCTGCGGTACAACTGCCCCGATGAGTCTTGCGACTTTGCCGGCCTCGGATGGCCCGACCTCCACCGCCATGTCAAATCAGTCCATCGCAAACGAATGTGCGACCTGTGCACTCGCAACAAGAAGGTCTTCACGCACGAGCACGAGCTCTTCTCCGACAAGGAGCTGGAGAAGCACATGAGACGCGGCGACGATAAGCCCGGCGCCGCCGACCAAACCGGCTTCAAGGGCCACCCCCTGTGCGGTTTCTGTGGCGAGCGCTTCTACGACGACGACAAGTTGTACGAGCATTGCCGCATGAAGCACGAACGTTGCTTCATCTGCGACCGCCGCGATTCACGACAACCGCACTATTACCTCGACTACAACGCCCTGGAAGAGCACTTCAAGAAGGACCACTACATTTGCTCCAACAGCGAGTGCCTGGAAAAGAAGTTTGTCGTATTTGAGTCTGAAATGGACCTCCAGGCGCACAACCTCAAGGAACATGCCGGCAAAGCCGTAGGCAGAGACGCCAGGCTTGTCGACATGTCCTCCTTTGACATCAGACAGTCGTACCAGACCGAAAGACGCGGTGGCCACCGAGACGGCGAGGGACGAGGCCGCGGCAGACGACGAGGGGGCAGGGGCAGAGACCCCAACGAGGATGCCGTGCCGCCGACTTCTGCCCAGCCGTTGCGCAGAGACGAGCTGGCCCTGCAGCGTCAGCTAGCAATTCACTCGGCGCAATCCGTATCGAACCGAACCTTTGGCGGCCAGCTCTCCGCGCCAGCTGGCCAGTCTTCGACCACACGCTCGACGCCGTCAGACACGTCAACGCCCGCCCGAAGCCATAACACAGCCAGCCCCCAGAATGGCCTGGCCGGCGCCATGGACTCACTGACCGTTACCGACACGTCAAACATGTCGCCGGAGGAGAGAGCCCGCCTTGTCCGCCACAGCTCCGTCGTCGAGCGAGCCGCCAACCTCCTCGGCAACGACGCCAACAAAATCAACACGTTCCGCCAGCACATCTCGTCCTACCGCCAAGGCGGCTTCACGGCCCCCCAGCTCATCGACGCCTTCTTCACCCTCTTCGCCGACGTCTCGTCCAACGCCCTCGGCACCCTGGTCCGCGAAGTAGCCGACCTCTTCGACGACAAGACCAAAGCCGACAACCTCCGCAAGGCGTGGCAGGACTGGCGCGCCATCAACGAAGACTACCCCAGCCTCCCCGGCCTCAGTGGCATGCATGGCGCAACCTCCAGCTCAAGCGGATGGGCGAACGCCGCAACTGCCAACCCGGCATCCCCCAACGCAGCAGCCCCTGCTCAGAAACACTCCAACAGAGTCCTCCGTCTCAAGAACAGCACCCGCCTCGGCGGTGCCCCGGCCGCCCCCCCCCAAG